TATAGGAAATATATTATAGAACATAACAAAAACCAAGAAAAAGTCATTGAAGAAATTGTTAACAATTACTATTTATTTAAAAATAAGACAATCATCTATCTCTAAAATAACAATCTTGTCGCATATTGCACATTAACGTCACACCAAATTGATTTTATTTTTTTTTATTGTATTAATCAACGTGGGATGATTAAAAAACCAACGTTCTTTGTGGATGGATTTTTTTTCCTAAAAATATCAAAGTAAAAAAGATCGAAAAAGAATGTTGATTACTTGATAAGTGGATCATGCAACTTATTAAATAAAAATGATTTGACAAGTAGAATCACTAATAAATCAAATGAATTACTTGAACAATGGAAAATTGTTCTAAAAACAAAAAGAAAAGAAAATTTTGTTTCTTTTTATAAATCAATAAATGAAATGGGATATTTCTCAGATGAAGCACAAGAAAATGATAAATTAATTAATAAATTAACAAATGAATTTAATAAAAGTTGTTTGACTGACAAAATCGCTAGATTATCAAATGGATTATGATTTTGAAAAAAGTGGCGATTCATTTCAAAAAACAAATACTTACTTTTATCTTTTTTTCTCATTTTAAAACATGTAAATAATCCTCGACATCTGCATTTGCCGTGTGCACCGAAATCTTACCTATTCTTATGAGTTGATGACAAATATTGGGAACCCCAGCTTGTTTTCTTGCCCTTTAAGAAAGAATAATGGAATAAGTTGATGCCAAAGAATTTGAAATGTATAATTATTTCATACCAAGATAAGTTTGTCTCCACGTTGTTGGACCAATTACTGATTGCTTCACCTTTCTGAAAAATAAATAATGTATTCATATTCATATAATTTATCGCTCCATTTGTGACTAGATTTGCGATTATAGTTGCTTGTGTCTGCCCCGTGACACCATTACGACAATTTGGTACCATTGTATCATTGAATCCCGCGTTATTCCAGATAAATATGAGTGCCAGCATTTCGTCATTTTCTTTATCTTTTAGATATTTTAAAATGAGATTGACAACGTCTGGATTCGTAGCGATATCTTCAGGAACTAATAAGAAAATATATATCGATTAATAATTCATAAACGTCAACGTCAGAGAAATAATTTAATTGCTACTACTACCTTTTCTATCGAAAGTTTTTTCAAGTTCTTGAAGTCTTTTTTCTTGAACTATATATTATCAATATAATATTATCAATATACGGATATAAAAAAAGGTCATAAAACTTTGTTGAGAAAAAAAACAGACGAATACCTTTATTACGAATAAATTTTAACATTATAGAATCTGGTGAGAAAAAAAAAATATTAAAAATATTGTATATTGATATATTGATATCGTGTATCACAGAAGGTCATAGAAATTATGATAAATCAATGATCAAAGCTCTCTATAACGAATCTCGTTGTAGAGAGCTGTAACAAGTAGTTTATTTTATTATCATTCGTAACATTAATTTATTTCGTGACAATTAATTCGCGTTCATTTCAATATTAATTTAATTATTTACTATATATTATTATTTATATTATCAATCTATGTAATCATTACATAAAGGACATTTCGCTAGGTTAATAAAGAATAACGTATAACTTGTATTTTTACAATAATTAAAATACTTGTGTCTAAGGACATTCCTGACCGATTGGGATTAAAAATCGATAAAAGTGTGAAGCACGGTAGCCACTGTTCTGACAAAATCTATTTGGAATGGTTTATAATGTGCCATTAAACCTAGCTCCATGTTGTGTATTTTATTTAGACTTTGTAGTTATTGAATACCCAAAGTCTATATTGATATTAAGTAATTCCTTCCTCTATCATCCATCACAAATATCAAAATGAGACATATTCATTTATTTTCCTAGCAAAGTGATCGGCACACGTGATTTTAATTTAATTGTAATTTAGCTTTTCTGCAATTAATATATTATTTTATTATAACAAATACGATATGGATCAAATTTTTGATTTTAAAGCAATGAAAGATGCCGGAATTAATTTTTCAGTGAAGTACCTTGATTCGGATGATGATATACCCAGAGATTACGAAAAAACAAGCGAATTTCGTTATATAAAAAAATTAGTAAAAAAACTTAATAATAGTAAATTTCTAGATTACTTTGATAAATGTCAGGAATGTGGTAAATTGTTTCATGAGCCATGGGGAGGTGGTTATTGTATAAAACATATAGTAAATAAGTATGGATGTTGTAGAAATCATTGTTGCATTGATGAAGGATCTGGACATTGCATATTACATTGCGTAAAAAAATTCAATGGATCTAAGAAATCCTTTTTTGCGTAATCTGCAATGGCGTGGAGTTTTATCTGGATGAGGTAATTCAATATTTTTTAAACGTTCGATTATTTCATTCAGAGGTTTATTATTGCCAATTCAGAAATATACATATTTTATAGTGGAGTTAGTGCCAGGTGTGGAACACCATTTCACAAGAAATAGGAACATATGAGTCGGGGACTCTGGACTTTGTCCATTCTCTAATGACAGGCCATTAACAAATTTTACTTTAAGATTTTCATTATCTAGATCCACGTCCAAGTCTTGCTCTAAATAGATAAGCAATGTCTGGAGATCATCAAGTTCTTCTGGGATCTTGTTAAGTACCATACCATATTAATCAAAATTACTATTGATATATTATACACTATATCTCTAGCAGAAAAAAATAACTAATGATTATTTATCTATTTCCATTATATCTACTATCACCCGCAATCCATGATGAGTAATCAAGAAAAAATTTGCCGATATCAGTTTCTGATATAATAGCTTTATAGATCTTTTTGATTCAAGTTGGATTGCATCACATTTCTGCTAACATCGAATCTATTTCTGCGATTTGGGCATCGAAAGGATTATAATTCTTAGGCTGAGATTTAGGTTCGGGTTCAGTATTAGTATCAAGATTGGTATCGGAATCAGAAGAAGTGTCACCCTCAGCATAATAAGTTCCAGAATCAAAACGGTTGATCTTATGTCTCATTGCAATTCTACAAAGTAAACTAAGATGTTGGGCCGTTGGATTTTGACTACCATGAACTTTAGAAGCATGTTTACTCCCTATTTTTCTCAATCTTTTGGCAGTAATACCATATGGATTTAAAAATTTGCTAAATGCTCTAATATTGCGTTTTCCATTATCACTATATACAGGATCACATAACTTTCTGGTTGCTATTGCATCTTGAATCCAAGTAAGCAATTCTTTTGTGCGTTCTGGATTTTTTTCCATGGAAAAAAATTGTCGAGGCTCAGGATTAACCTTCTTTTCTCCCTTATTCTTAATATATCCTATACAATACCAAGAATAACCAGGTTTATACCATTCCGGATGATTT